GAATAAAATAATTTGAGGAAAAATAAAAAGAATACCTCAATGTAAACAAAGTAAAGTCATAAAGCAGTACTGTCTTTTAAAAATGAAAGCATGCCTGGGACGACAGGTGGCATGGTAGCTAAGGCACTAGACTCCCATATGACCAACCATAGTTTGAGTCCCAGACCTGGTAGCTTTCTCTCTCACTTGTTCTCTCTCTCTCTGGTCAAATGAAAAAAAAAAAAGAAAAGAAAGGAAAAGATGATGAATAAAATAAAATAAAACAATTTGTTAAAAAGTAAGTAAATAAAGCAATGCCAGGGAAGCTGATGGCATGATAGTTAAGGTGGTGGGATCCCCAGGCCAACTGTGTGATTTGAGTCCTGGACCCAACATCTTGAAAAAAACAGGGCACATGATGAGTATGCATGCCCAAAATCCCAAGAGGAGAAGGAACTGCAGCGTGGCCATCCCCTCTAGGGAGTGCTTTCTCACCTCTTTCTCTCTTTCTCTCTCTCTTCAGTAAGTGCACGTGCCCTATAATAATTTTTTTAAAAAAAGGAAGAAGAAGAAGAAACGCACGCCTTTTGCTTTCTATACTCAAGGAAAGAATATAGGTAAGAATTACCATTCACTTACTGTTGCTAAGAAATCTATATCATAATATGGGAATTTTGAAACTTAGCATGATGGAACAACCAAAACACTGCTGAGCTTCTTTTATATCTACGTCTCCTCTAATGAAAGAATCAAAGGCAACCAAAGAACCAAAAGATGTTCACAAAAGGATTGACCAATTCTGAGTAGAAGTATTTATCCTGGGCCTGCCAGTGGCACGGTGGTTAAGGCAGCTGGATTCCACATGGCCAACTGCGTGGTTCAAGTCCAGGACCCAGTGGCTTAAAAATCATGCCCCATGCGTGTGCACATGTGTGCGAGATCCCAAGAAGAGAATGGACAGAAGGGATTACAGTGTGGCCATCCCCCTAGGGAGTGCTTTCTCACTCTCTATCTGGTGACCGCATGTACTCTAAAGCCAAAACTACAATAATAATAATAAAAGGCGTACTTATTCTAAATAAAAAAAAAAGAAAAAGCAACACAAAATTTAATTAGAGACTGTTAGCATGCTTGTAACTAGTCACAAGGTTATCTAAGCCTGCCAGATTCCAGAGAACTGCAAAAAAAGTACAAAGAAGATTTAAGAAGATAAAAGAGCTCTTCTGCTATCCAAAATTTAACACTGACACTTCTAAAAATTCTACTTCTTCTCCCACACAAATAGGCCTGCAAGGATCAAGAATACAGAAAATTGACCCTTAAAGCTAGAATCGCATCAGTAGTAGGACAAACATGTGGAAAACATTCCTAATTTTTAGCACACAAAGTTCTCTCAGGGGATCAGTAACTACCAGCTGGATCCCCTTGAGGAAAGATGTTTTCCTCCTGAAGTCCCCCCAAAAAATAAATACCTTTTTGTTTTATAAAACTGAACAGTATTTTTAAAGCATGTCTCCATAGTGACCCTCAAACACAAAATTTAAAAATATATATATATAACATAAGCAATAAATGAGGACATAAATGTTACAGGGAGAACAAGGGCAGTGTAAGTAATTTTTTAATTAAAATAACCACAGCAAAATATATTATGTGTATTGTATGGAGTTGGCTAGTTCTAAGACAACGTGCTACTTTATCTTCTCCTTTACATTGTCATAAAAGTTAGTTCAACAAATACTTCACAGCTTAAGATACTTAGGACCTGAATCTGGATAACAGTTCCTTTTGTAAAGTAAGAATGCAAGTAATTATGATACTCACTGCTTCTTACTGAAGTTTCAAACACTTTCTACCACTAAATATTTTTTTAAAATAATTTATTTTTATTTATTTTTTTTTTTTTTTAACGCAAAGAGAGGAAGAAAGAGGAAGGGAAAGCAAGAAAGCAAGCCAGCAGATCCAGGACTCTTAACTGTGGTCGACCCTGTGGGAGTCCAGTGCCCCAACCACCACAACATCTGCCGGCCCTACACCTCTAGATCTTTGAGAGATCCACTCCATGTACCTTTTTTTTTTTTTTTTTTTTGAGAGGTTTTCACTATAGGGCACGTGCGCTCGCCAGACAGACAGAGAGAGACATAGAGACAGAAAGCAAGAAATCACACCCCAGGGGGGGATGGCCACACCGCAATCCCTTCTCCTCTATTCTCCTCTCGGGATCTTGGGCACGCACGCACACGCGCCCAGCGTGAGTTTCAAGCCACCAGGTCCGGGACATGAACCACGGTCGACTACGTGGGAATCCGGCGACATAGCCATTACACTAACTGCTGGTTCCCCACTCCATGTACCTTTGAAGCCTTTTCTGGATTCTTCCCATCTTTCTTCCTATCTTATTTGGTGTGCATTCTCTGATCCCTCGAGCCAGAAGCAATCTGTCTATAAATGCCCACAGCTCGCTTTTATAGTCTCTTATAGCACTGAACACTTTCTATCTTATGCAATATTACACATTTTGTTTTGAGAGATTTTGGCCATAGGGCACGTATGCTCACCAAAGAGACAGAGAGAGACAGACAGAAAGCAAGCAATCACCCCCAGTAGGGATGGTCATGCTGCACTCTCTCCCCCTGCATTCCCCTCTCAGGGTTTTGGGCATGCACATACCCATTATGAGTTTCAAGTCCTGGGTCCAGGACCCGAACCATGGTCAGCTTGGTAGGAGTCCAGTGCCCCAACCACACCACCTGCTGGCCCCAGAATTATACATTTTTAAGTACAGTAAGCTCTCTCCTACTAAGAGTGTCCTTGAAAAGAAGGTCCATGCTTTATTCAGACTTGTATCCCTTCTAGTACTTAGTGCTTGGAACTAAACATTTATTGGAACTAAACATTTATTGGGTGTTCTGCCTAGAATGGTGAGGACATTCAACAATGCTTTTTAGGCACTGTGTGCCCTAGTCCATATTAAGAGGAAACAAGTATCAATGATAGAGACAGGCCAAAATCCACTATGAGGCACAGATCAGTAAGCATTAATACAATGTAACAGTGCTGTTAACATCAGTAATAATGGATAAACAAGATGTTGTGAGGAAACTATTACATATGCTGAAAATCATTCTGATTTCTTAAATTTCATGTTAGAAACTAAGTCTTAATTCAAGGACTAAAAACATTTCAATGAGGGCCCTTTAATCTCTCAAAATTTCTTATACAACCTGAAACTAGCAATCATATAAAGGCTTCACTTGTAATCAGAAAGCAGCAAGTTTCCCGGTATTGCTACAGTTTCTGCAGTAACCAGGCCTGGTCTTCTTATCTTTAAATCAATTTACTCATCTCATCTTGACACAGTTGTCTAAATTGTGCACCATTACCAAGCACCACTGCCTCATGCCTCAACATGTGCTTATCTAAATCTACTTAACCTTTAAAGTTCTCCCCAGGCCAACTTCCTGAGCTCTCCAGCATATATGGTTCTACATCCTCTAGTATGCTGTACTAGTACTACTAAATTTGTACCTCTCGGGTCTGGCTGGATCCCAGATGGCCCACTGTGTGGTTACAGTTCTAGACTGAGCAGTTTGAAAAACACAGCGACCCACCTAATGTGATCAAAATGTCAACAGAAGGAAGAAATGGAAAAGGGATTGTGGCATGATCATGCCCCAAGGTGGGTGATTTCTCACTTTCCCTTTCTTTCTCTGTCTCTCTGGCAAAATGTATGTATATATGTATGTATTAGTAAGTATGTATGTATTAAGAGGTTTTTTGCCTTGGCATGTGTGTGGTTAAGGGGGGTGAGGGAGGTGGTAAGCAAGGACCATGACAGAGAATGTGAGAAGTCACTCTCCAGAGGGGACGGCCACACCATAATTCCTTCTCCATTCTCCTCCTGGAATCTTGGGCACACACATGTGCCCCACCTGATACACGCCACCAGGTCCAGGACTTGAAACCCAGTGGGCCATGTGCTAGTCCAGCGATGTAACCACCATGCCATCTGCTGGCCCCATCTCTGTCAAAATTTAAAAAAACAAAAAAACAAAAAAACCCTCTCTTCTTTAAAAATTAATGATAATGATAAGGTGAACTACTGTTAACCTTTTATGTAATTTAGATTAAGCAGAATCAGTTTTCAAATCCCAGATCTGCTTAGTGTCTTGCAATATAAAGCTGTGCAAGTTACTAAACTTTCATGAATCTCAATTTCCTCATTAAAATCAGGATTAAACTGGGTAATGCGTACAAAATGCCTACTACACACATATGCATTCACACATAAATTAAATGCATGTATATTTATTTTATCGTTCCTATTTTCCTAGACAGGAGACACATATTCTCTTTAAAACTCAAGACAAGAGCAATGGAACATAAGCAAACTGGGTACTAAACGCCGGATCAAATCACTGATGTCACAACTTTTAAATGCGCTAAGGCAACTCATACAAGACACCCTCCGCCAATTTTCTCATACTACGGAAAATCTTGAAATACTCGGAGGCAAAGACAGACCAGACACAGAGATCCTAGGCTGGTGGCCTAACTGGTACCTTTCCCGAGTCCATCTGCCTCAGAGCAAACCTGACGCTTACTAAAAAGTCAGGAGCTGAAATAGCTTCTTACTATTACATAAGCCAAACAATACATAAATTAACTTTTTTTTTAGGCTGCGTGATCCCTCTAGAGAAGACATAATCACTTCCGCAAAATTTGGGATTCGGACCAGAAAGTCCAAATGGGATAAGGGCTGAGTCATCAATTTAAAATCAACCACCAACTGCCCCACCCTGAATAGGGCTCCACCGCAACCAACTCCCGCGGAGCGCCAGGCACCCTGCACTCTGCCACTACCGTAGTCCACCGGCGACGCGTGTCCTGCCACCGGGCGGGCGCGCCTCGTCCCACCCTCGCTCTGACCCAGGATGACAGTGACCCGCACACTGGGGTCCTCAGCCCAGAGCCTCAGGTCCCAATCTAGACTCCGATCCACGCCTGACACCGGCACTTACCCGGGCGGTGACCTTATACACCGTGTATCCCCTGGGGTGTCGCTGGGGCTCTGTGACAGTGTAGAAACGGGCCAGATCGCCACCCCGCTCCCGGGGAGAGGTCATCCTTC